AGCAGAACGTACCGTATTTCCAAGGACAGAATTCAAATCTTCAGACGGCCGCGCAGTAGTTGTAGCAACCTACGAGAAGAAAGAAACAAATTTAGTTAAGACTCATTTTCCATTAACTGGGTATACTTTACACCATTAACCATCTTCGGCACAATTGAATAAACCTGCCCACATTCCAGTTTAGGCATCATAACACCCATTCAATAATAAAGGCGACCCTTCCACAGATTTTACATGCGTATATAAAAATTCTTACAAGATTCATACAAAACAAAGTCATGAAATTAGTGTCTAACACATGCTAAATATTTTATATGAAAAATTCTGGCGACATCATGCACCGACCGACCTAAAAAAAATGTTAACATACCAAGTTTATTCATTGGTGAACTTTGTAGCAATCACAAAACTATACACCCACGCAATGTACACTAATTCACACCACACACCACTTGCAATCAGTTCTATTTGAAACAAAACTCGTGCTGAAGATCGAAATTAATATGTACAAAAGCCATGCAACATGGAGCGGCATAGAAATCAAAGGAATACCGTTGATGGCGAGGGTGCTTGTGGGGGTGTTTGGGTGGAGGTGCTTCGAAGGAGACCAAGCTCCTCAAACTCGGCGATCTCGTCCTTGGAGATCTCATTAGCCTGGGCGATGCCTTCTGGGACCACGGTCCCGTTAGGGAACTTGCGTACAATGGTGTTGTTGGGATAAATGCCAAAGACGACGAAGGGCGACATGTATATGTCCTCCGCGTTGGGGTTCTTCCGCACGACGGTGTTATTAGGATAGATGCCAAAGACAACAAAGTCCTTATCGGAGGACGACTCAGTCGTCGACGAGCCTACAGTAGTTGAAGAGGACTTCGTTGACGTAGGCGATTTTTCCGCCAACAGTGAGCTTGGCGAAGTCGTGGACTCCGAGCCAGAAGTCGGTGTAGTGTCAAACATGAATCCCTTCGGGGCGACGGTAAGGCGCATCTGGAAGCGGGGGACGTACTCGTCGTCAGACAAAGCGCGCCCCTGGGCAGGCCTGAAGAACATGGGACGCGCCGTGCTGACAACGGGAGCCTCCGCCACACCCTCAGAGGTTGTCGTCATGGTTTCCGGAGTGGACGCGGTGACTGTGGTTGGCGCATTTGATGTCGTCATTGGCTTCGCCGTTGTCACCATCGGCTTCACCGTTGTCACCATTGGCTTCTTGGTTGTGGCCGGCTTTCTGGTGGTAGGTTTTGGTTTCGATGGCGGCTTTTTCGTCGTGTTTCCCCGAGATGCTGGCCGCCGGGTTGTGCCATTGTTTGGCTTCTTGGTAGTCGCTTTCGGTTTTCTGGTGGTCGTTGTCGGCTTGCGAGCCGTTGTCGTCGTAGGCGCCGCGGTCGTAGACGCCGTTGTAGAAGACGAGATTGTTGAGGAGGGCAGCGGCAGTGTTGTTTCGGCACTGACCTCGGCAATACGAGCCCTCACCATTAGATCGTTAACGGGAGCATCAGTCAAAACTGATAAGTCCACACCAAGGCCATCGTCTTCAGTGGTCGACGTTGGGGTAGAACTTGAGGTGGTTGTTGTGGACGGGGTACTAGCTGTGGTAGGCGGCAGGGTACTTCTTGTTGTGGGCGGGGTAGTACTTGTTGTGGGTGGTTTAGTACTTGTCGACGGAGTAGTACTTGTTGTGGACGGTGTAGTACTTGTGGTTGTAGACGGTGTAGTACTTGTGGTTGTGGACGGTGTAGTACTTGTGGTTGTGGACGGTGTAGTACTTGTGGTTGAGGACGGAGTAGTACTAGAAGTACTAATAGTTGTACTCGTAGCAACACTTGATACTGTCGTTATCTCCTCTGGACTATCCATTGTTGTGGGCATCTCTGTGGTAGTCGTACTTGTGGTCATGGTGGTAGAAGTGGTGCTTGGTTTCCTTGTGGTTGTAGTGGGTTTCTTAGTAGTAGGTTTCGGCTTTGGTTTCTTTGTTGTTGGCCTACGGGTTGTCGCAGGTTTTCTCGTTGTTGGCTTTGGCTTCTTTGTCGTGTTAGGCCTCTTAGTAGTGGTCTTTGGCTTGACTGTTGTCGTCGTCGTCGTAGCCACGGAAGTTGTGATAAGAGGGGAGGTCGTGGCCTCGGTAGAGGTGCTTACACTTGGTTCTTCGGAGATACTGGAAGTTCTTGTACTTGCAACCTCAGCGGTATCCAAAGTACTACTAGGTGATGTAGCAGTGGGCTCTGGACTAATAGAACTCATTAAACTGGTCTCATTTACAGAAACCGTCTCTGCCATGGGTGTCGTAGACCCAGGGGCAGCCTCTACGCCCCTAACGAGCGCCCTCTCTACGATCTCAGTCACAGGCGCGTTTGTAAAGTACATCACCTCCGTGGTGGTCTCTGGTGGCGCAGCCGATGTGGTCGTAGTTGTGGTTGTAGTGCTTGTGCTCGTAGTGGGTTGCTTGGTTGTTGTAACCCCAGGTTTTTTCGTCGTGACCGGAGGCTTCTTTGTCGTCGCCTTTGGCTTAGGCGTGGGCTTGCGGGTCGTCGCCGGAGGCTTCTTGGTGGTTGGTCTGGGCGTCGCTGGTTTCTTGTTAGGAGCGGGCTTCTTAGTGGTCGGCGCGGGCTTCTTCGTTGTCGTTGAAGTCGTAGCTATTGTGGTAGAGCTTGTTGTGGTGGGTGGCGTGGTGCTCGTGGTGGTGGGAGGCGTGGTGCTCGAGGTGGAAGCTTCCGTGGTGGTCTCTTCAGTCAGATCCAGGGCCCTGCCTTTGATCTGCGGCGTGCTCAATGTGGTCGTCATCGGGCTGTTGTCATCGACGCCGAGGTGGTCCGCTGGCATCAAGCTCTGTGCGCCCAGAGAAATGGTCGTGCTGGGTGAGTCGTCAACAGTCGATACATCAGTGCTAGAGGGAGTAGGAGTTGAGGGAGGAGGCATGGTGGCTG